ATTATTATTTTCTGACTCATGATTCTGTCACTTCCACCATATTAAAGTTCTTCCTTCTCTTTAGTCAGACCCCGTGTGCTAGGTAGCTATTATTCCCCTGCAGCATCTACATGGTCTGGAGGGGAATCATGGCTCCAGAGAAGACCGATACCAGCGTGCTGGTATGCACATGTGCAGGCATGACGTGTGCAGGTGTCCATGTGTGCAGGTGGGGGGCTGACACTCTTCCCTGACTTCCTCCAGATGGCGCCACTTCAGATCGGAATGGAGAAATGAGCTTAGAGAAAGCTGGCACAAAGAAACCATCGGGGTATTTAGGGAAGTTCACCGGCACCTCATTCCATCTCCTAAATATGTAACATCTTACAGCACATTTAGCAGAAAACATAATTCTCCTTCAGCGTGAGAAACACTCTTGAGGCTTTTTCCATTTTAGATCTCAACCTCCACTATCCTCTACACACATTTGTTTTTTATTAGAATTCTTCAAGTATCAATGACTTCTGTACATTTTTAATAAAAAAATACATGTAGTAAGATATTAAAATCACATATTATGTGTTCTATTAAGAAAGCTAAAATCTATTTCTACATTTTCCATACAAATGCAACTGCCCCTACTGTGTGTGTGTATATATATATATATCTTCTCTTGTGTAAGACTGTGTAATGTGTCATTGGTCCCAAAATGTAAGAGTGGAAAATTTTTGTAGTTAGTCTAATTATCTTATCTTTTTTTTGGTAGGTTCAAAACTCAGTTTGCAAGAGCACAAAATTCCACTGAGTAAGGACAATCATTACAGCAAATATCATCACCATGAATCAGACAAACCATTCAAGACACAAAATAACAAGAGGTAAAACTTTGCCGAGTTTTGCATTTGTCTCCTCCAAGTAACAACATTGCTGATGCTAAACACACATTTACCAAAGGGGGCTACTGCTTGGTCTCACTACATTAAACATTTATAAATTCATTACTTAGTACTTCAAACATTCATTTATATTTTCTTACATGGAATTATTATGCATTTAGCTTTTATTCATTTAAAAAAGTTCCACTGCATTAGGTCTTCAAAGAGATTTCCAGAGTGTTCAATTACTTCTTCTAACTGCAGCTTTTTCTGTTTCTTGGAAAAAAGCCAGGTTCCCAGTCTTAGCACTTTTACTCTTACTCTCTTCATCCACTTGTTCCAGGGGTTGTGAAAAGAGGTTTTCTTTCGGGACTGCCTCAACAGTGAGGGTTCCTTTCTAGCTTTAAAAAATTCAAGCTTAAAAAAAATTAAACTGGCATCTTTATAATGCCAGTAGCTTTTGCTCAGTGAGGAATCAAACCCTCTGAACAATGAATGCTTGTCTAAGGCAACTATTCACAGAAGGTACTGCCTTCTGGGGAATGGGAAAAGTTTTTACCTACTGACAAATGGGAGTAGCATAACAGAATAGAGCTGAACCCAAGGCGAAACGCCTCACGTTTCCAGAGCTGAAATGTGGCGATCAGTTACAGCCCCTCTGCCATTGACCCGATATAAACAGAAGAACACTGAAGAATACCAAACAAGATCAAGCAGCAGTCCAGATGAGATCATGCAAATTCCTTTTAAATGCCTTTAATTTACAGATTTTAAAAATGTTTGGAGAGGTTGGAGGCTTATCCCCATGTGTTAATTAAAACTTGATTTTGGAGCTCCAGTGAGAATCTGAGAGACAGGAAGAATAAATCTTGAGAAAATTGTCTGGTGTATATAAATAGCTTCAACAGTTACTTCAAAATTTAGTTTTATGTTATATCATTTAGGTCTCAAGGCTTTCTCTGAAAGAAACACCAACCTCGTGAATACTGTCTGTGTCAAGGTCTCTGGCTGTTTATTGGCCCCGCACATTCTATGAAGCACATGAACCAATTAGAAAGAAATAAAAAGTGTTCTGCTCTATCTTTCTCACCAGACTGAGCTATTGTGACTACTGGTTTGCATTTAGGTGAGAAAGTATTTCAATTTCTTCATCCTTTTCTTGATTCTTTTGGTGAAAATAGGGGGGGAAAGGCACAGAGAAGCAGACAGGGTTGGGTGCTTTTACTTTTGTGGGCATCTCACCTACTTCTCCCCTTCCCCATTTCAACTCCTTCCTTGTGCACAGGTGGGGTTTCACTGACCCTGGACTTACAAAGGAAGGAGGATCAAAAAAAAAAAAAAAAGTAGAGGTATGGTGTAGCCACTACGGAAAACAGTATTGAGGTTCTTTAAAAAACTAAAAACAAAGTTACCATAAGATCCCTCAATCCCACTCCTGGATATATAACCAGAAAAGATGAAAACTCTAATTTGCAAAGATACATGCACCCCAGTGTTGACAGCAGCACTATTTACGATAGCCAAGACACAGAAGCAACCTAAGTGTCCATCAACAGATGAATGGGTAAAGAAAATGCAGTATAGATATACATATACAATGGAATATTACTCAGCCATTAAAAAGAATGAAACATTGCCATTTGCAGTAATATGGATGGACCTAGAGATTATCATACTGACTGAGGTGAATCATACAGAGAAAGATATTAGATGATGTCACTTACATGTGGAATATAAAAAAAATACTACAAACGAATTTATTTACAAAACAGATACAGACTCACAGACATAAAAACAATAAATTTATGGTTACCAAAGGGGAGAGAAAGGGGATAAATTAGGAGAATGGAATTAATAGATAAACAAGAAGGACTTACTATGTACCACAGGGAACTATATTCAATATCTTTTAATAACTTATAATGGAAAAGAATCTGAAAAAATATATATATATAACTGAATCACTCTGCTGTGCTCCTGAAACTAACACAATATTGTAAATCAGCTATACTTCAATAAGTTTTTTTTTTTAAATGCAAGGTAGGGAGGTGATAGCAGACATGAGACGAGAGCAGAACTGGAGCCAGTATCTGGAGAGAGAAAATCTTTCAGAGAAGAGACAGAAAGTTTGCAAATAAGCAGGGACCATACATTCCTTCTGATGCTGCCTTGTCCAGGACTCTACTGTCAGTAAGCGGTAGAGTCAACTCTAAGAAATCCTGGGGTCTTTTCTGTTACAGCATAAGCACATCAAGTTCTTGGCTATAACTTGAACAGAATCCCAGT